TCATGAAGAAGTGCTACAATTTGAAAAAGAAAAATTGACTTTTGAAAAAGAAAAAATAAACGTAATGATGAAGCTGCGGGAAACTTTAGAAAAGTTAACCGTAGTAAAAAAAAAGCAATTTAAACAATGTAAACCTTATCTCTAATTATAATTTTTTATTACTGTTGTGACCTGTACTTGAAGTAGTTGAAATGAAATAAAATATCACAAGCACATATATTTATTTACTAACATTTTTATTTAAAAAATAAAAAATTTAAGAAACAAACAATATTTTTAAATTATTTCTTTTGATAATGCCTTCGTTAGTATCATTTATGTTTTCATGCATTTCAGCATCAGAATCATTAAAATTGTTCCTCATTATTAAATTATGCAAAATTACACAAGCTAATACAACTTTTGATACCTCTTCCATATTTTGAATATCAATATGATTTAAAATTTTGAACTTTCCCCTCWAAATCCCAAAAGCTTGTTCTATGAATACCCGAGTTGAACTTAAATAATAATTAAATTGTTTCTCCTCTCTCAACAGATGTCCATTATCTCTATAAGGCGCGATCAAATATTTTGAAAGAGGATAAGCTGAGTCAGCTAAAATTATAGCATCTTTTGCAAGTTGTATCTCTCCAGACGTAATTCCTTTGTATATCGGACTATTTTTCCATACGTTGGCGTCATGGCAGCTCCCTGGGTAGCCGATAAAAACATCCAAGAAACGAAATGTGCTGTCGCATATGCCCTTAACATTGCAAATGTTTTATGTTTTTAAAATAGTTCTAGCTTAACCATCACCATATGTACATACCTGCATAATAATGGAATAGTTCCCCTTTCGGTCATAGTAGCTAATTGCATCCTTCTTCGGTGTGTTTATTTTAAAATGTGTCCCATCCAAACAGCCGACTACGAAAGGATATGCATTCGGCCGGCTCGCTTGGAAACGCTCCATTATTATTTGCTGTTGGGAAATTGATGGCCAACATATTTCATTCTTCAACATACAGATTGCATTGATCGTTTTAAGAAAAATTTTGTGGGCAGTCCCTTTTGAAACATCAAATTTATCTGATAATTCACGATAAGTGACTCTGCTGTTACTAAGCTTCCACAAGGTAATATGCAAGGCCTGATCCATTGAATATTCCCCTCGTAACGTTATCCAAAAAGGCTCCAAGGCGCTCTTTAATTCCTACGAAGTATATATTTATATATATGTGTTTATTTAGGAGATTATTTAAATCAGAAAACTTACCGCAAATGTTTCACGAGACATCCGAAAATGTGACAAATATATGTCCGGAGGATAAAATGGAATTGTCTTGAAGAAGTTTTGCGATTTCGCTATCGTCCTCTTTTTTAAAATTGCAGTCAAAAGCCATTTCTTTGTACGCGCAAAACTTTCTTTCCTTTTTTTTTTTTGTATTTCAAAAGTAAAGTACTCTCACTCTCCACCATGTTATCAACTGTTAAATTTATTAAAAAATTCATTTTTGAAACTTTTTCACTTCACTTGTTCAATTCACTTGCATGCCGCGCAAAATATATGCATAAGTATCAGCTGAGCATCTGCAAAAAAACATCAGGGTTGCAATATTGCCGTAATTCTGTAGGCAATTGCCTGATTATGAAATTTCAGTACAAAAAAGACGACTGGTGCGTCAGTTGCCTTGTCTGTTAGCTGATAGTTATGCATATAGTATGTTAATTTTGGTGTAATGAAATCAAGCGGTAGTAGCTTTACACAATACGACTAATTTGATGATCTTCTCCCTTCTTCGTCAACCCTATGTACGATATTTATTTTTCACAAAAGCAACCTCTAGAAAACACTAGGTAGTTCCTTCTTGGATTGATTATAGAAAATCTTGGCGAGAAAGACAACGAGGAAAAGATAAAATTATTACTCCCAACAGAGCGCCAGCCGTTTCTTCTTTTGGCTAGGTAGCGCCAATTGGAGATTCCAAAGCCAGGTATTTCTTTAGGAGGTCTTTCTCTTCTGCTTCCTTCACAAAACGGCGCGCATCTCAAATACTAATGAACATTTTGACGTGAAGCAGAGATGTCATTACCAGTACTACCAACTTACAGAAAAAACAAATGTATCAATTCGAAAACACGCGAAGTATAAATTAGCCACCCTTCAATTGATCACAGTACTATATCTCATACAATAGTTATTCTGCGTTGAATTTCGAAGCTGACATTATTGTTTCTGTTAATGCCAATTTTCCAAGATAGACAAAATTATCTACAACTTCAAAGTTATGACTGTCAACAGTGACGTGGGAGTGCATCGACTGTTTGTTTGTTGACAGGAGATATATGTATCATCTTGCCCTCGTACCAGACTATTTGCTTTGCTTCCTTATCCAGTCTGGAGTAAGCAGAATAATGGCGCGGGTGTTGAGGCCAAACAATATCAATATCACCGGCATACGCCAGCAGCTGTACACTCTTATAAAAAATTTTACCTCCTCGATTGAGTTCTGTGTCTCGAACTATTTTCTCCAGAAGCAGGTTGAAGAAGTTGCACGATAGGGGTCGCCACTGTTACCTTAATGGCTGCAACCTCGGTTTGGAAACAATGAAACAATGAATGAAATAGAGAGCTTCTGACAGTAAACTCCTTCACCAACCTTTCCCCCAAGCCTTGACCAATCCGTAAAAAAGCTCACTGGCTCTCTCCTCCAACGGATTCTTTCTATTCACAATCTGCCAGAGTTCGGTTTGGCGACTTCAAAATCCAAGTGATTCAGTATGAAGTCAAAGCGTGTGAGGATTTCGGAGTGGTCAGACATGTGCTCATTTAGCAAACCAGATTCTCTGGGTCTAATAGCAACTTTACCGTTAAGTGACATAGTTGGACTGAACCTCAGTGTAACCCACATACTGATGTGTGTGTTGAAGTGTGGTCGTTATGAGGATTGCGACTTCATAGAACATAATGGGAATGGTGGCAGACCCCACCTTCTTCCAACGGCTCCAGAAAAAGATAATACCCGAGACAGACATGTAGTAACAATACCATAGTAGAGGTATCATGGTATTCTGTTTACTACGTTGGTGACACACATGGCAATGTAGTAAACTCAAATACTAGCTTTGTTTCATAGGCATTAAATATTGATATGATATGATATGATATTGTGTGTTATGGAGAAAATTATTTCAATTATTTAAAATACTCTAAAGAGTTAAAAGCTTGGGATTTTAAAAATAGGGTATCCCACAATACAATAACCGATCTTCTGCAAACGTTGCGAAAAATAGGTTGTGTAGGTTTACCTCTAACGGTTTAAAGTCTCCAAGGTACCATCCAAAAAAAGTATGTAAATATTCAAACGATTCCAAGTGGATCTTTTTAAATAGAGGAATTCAAAATCATTTTGAGAAAAACTCATTTAATCACCTTAAAACAATATTGTGCTTGATGTGGAAATAGATGACCTTCAGTTATTCTAGAATTCGAATAGAGTATTGTGGCCTATTCTGGCATCCATAGTTGATTTTCAAACGAATTATCGCTCATAATTGCATCCTTTTCGGGAACAGAAAAACCTTGGAGCATCAATGATATTTTAAAAGAATTTTTTGAAGAAGTAAATTATTAAAAAAAAAAATAGTTTTCAGGTTGGTACTTATCCTGTAAAGAAGAAGCTTGATATTCGTTTGTTTTGCTGTGATGCTCCCGCTCGAGCTTTTGTTACAGGTGTGCAGTCGCACGCTGGAAAAAGTAGTTGTTCTAAATGCGAAGGGAGAGTTTGTTTCTCAAAGCAAATAAAACATTAAGAACTGACCAACCTTTTAAAAATAGAAGTGACAGGTAACTTCACATTAATTCTTTTAAATTTAGAGAAAGCATTTTAGAGTCAGGAATTTAAAATTTTTTAAAAAGTTCCTTCGATTGCTGATTAAAATAATCCGTATAACGTAAGCAAGCTTCAGAGAACGTTTATCATAGAGAAGGCAGAGAACGTCTATCATAGAGAAGGTTCACGGCGCGGAGATCGTAAAAATATTTTTGGCTAACTCGGTCGAGATGAGCCAGTTTCACCACTGCCAGCTCGGCAGGAGAAATTTTAACATTTTCGTTTGAACAGAGCTGAGCGTGAAATAA